ACTATAATAGTATTAGCTCAAATTCTATATATCCATCAAGATATTCTCTAAATATTTAACTCCAAATTTAATTAATATAATATATTAACTTAAAATTGTAATAAAAATTTATAATTTTAAATAGGGAAAATTGTATATAATAGCAAACTATTAATTCAAATTCAATGTTATAAATATAGTTTGATTTAATTGTACTTCATAGCAAACTGTTGTTATTTCACCTCTCTCCTGGTGAATCTCGCTCGCCACTCTCGTTCTCTCCCTCGCCTCTCTCATTTTTTGTACAAACGCAAGTGTATAAAGTGTGTTTGTGTTTGTATAAAGCGAGAGAAAATTGTATATATACATATATTTCCGTTCCCCTCTCCCAGATCTCACTCGCCACTCTCCCAGATCTCGCTCTCTCACTCGCCTCTCTCACTTTATACAAAAATGCAAATGTATAAAATGCGTGAAAACTGTATATATATATATTTTCGTTCCCCTCTCTCCCCTCTCCCAAATCTCGCTCGCCACTCTCCAAGATTTCGCTCGCTCACTCGCCTCTTTCACTTTATACAATTGATCTTTTGTATATGTATACCAAAACAAATCATACAATTGTTTTCTTTTGTATATGTATAGTGAAATATACATATTTATGTTTGCTATGGAGCACAATTATGCAAACTTTTCTATAGCATACAAATATAAATTTTGTGTTTGCTATATGTAAAAGTTGTTCTTTTAAATATTTAACTCTAAACTCAATTAATATAATATATTAACTTAAAATCGTAAAATTTATAAATTTTAAATCGGCGTGTAGGCACAAAGTTTGGTAACAGAGAATCATATAAATAAGATAAGATAATGGAAAGGGACTGAAGGTTCAGAATCTTCCGTACAATATAGCTACTAACTTTTACCAGTCTTGTCAATCATCTCTTACCGGACCAGGTTAATCCTGCAGTAGACATGGATAAGATTAAAAAGGACTCATTGCTCTTTTCGTCTCATTTATGTGACACTTTTTAGATTTCAAATTTAAACAAGTTTATCATTAATTATATATTTTTTTATAGATTTTTTATATATATTTTGAATTATTAGTTTTTGTGACTTATAGTAATTTTTACGTAGTTTACAAATATATATATTTCAATTCAAAAAAAATGAAGATTTCATGCGTAAATTTTTGATCAAACTTAAATTATTTGACTTTGAAAAATAAAAAATGTCACATAAATTGAAATAAATTGAGTAATTATTTTTGGAAATATTTGAATAACTATCTCCTTTAAAAATTTAAGTAGATAAATTATTTATGAAGGAATGTATTAGAATTTAGATGCACTCGGAATATGAAAAGATTTCTATAAGTCATATATTTTATCATTTTACTTTATAAAGGCTATTGGGATTCAAAATGATATCTACTTGTAAGTTTCTTAAAATGTATAATCTTAAGAATAAGGCTAAATATGACCTGAAAATATAAGATTATCTTATTATACTAGTAATCAATAGTGCATTATTTCTTTATTTTAAATCAGTGAATTGAGATCATATTAATTCGAAGTTGAAATTTTATTTGGACATATAATTTGAATTTCTCAAGTTTTTTTTTTCAAAATATGAAAACCCCCCACAATTTGTGAAAACTATATAAGAAATTTCAACTTGTGTACAGTCATATCAAATGAGCAAATTATAATTTATAAACAACGTATCAGAATATCTTAAGACGACACAAGAATATATAAGTATACTAGGTTTCGTGATGGTTATATTATTTTTTATGGACAATTTAATTTGTTGTATTAAGTTAATATAATGCATTAGAATAAAAAAAATGAATATATAGGATCTATTTGAATAGGACTAGTACCCGGTATTGTTAATGTCATGGTTTACTTGCGTATAAAAATAGTATTGAGCAGGATATATAACTCACAGATATATTCTACAAAATAAGGAATTGAATAATATCAAAATTAATACATGTATTATGACTCTAATAGCTCCTACCAAACGATCCTTAAATTCATTATTTTTAATTACTCATGAAGGAGTTTAAGTTATAAATACACACCTCAATGTAAAGGCTGTTGGGATTCAAAATGATATTTATATTTAAGTTTCTTAAAATGTGAAATTTAAAATCTTAAAAATAAGGGTAAATATGACCTTCAAATGTAAGATTATCTTATAATACTAGTAATTAATAGTGCATTATTTCTTTATTTTAATTTTTTTTAGAGCTCGTTTGGACATGATTTCAAATCAGTGAATTGAGATCGTATTGATTTGAATTTGAAATTTTATTTGGACATATAATTTGAATTCTCAAGTTTTTTTTTCATAAATATGAAAACCCCCCATAATTTGTGAAAACTATATAAGAAATTTCAACTTTTATACGGTCAAATCAAATGAGAAAATTATAATTCATAAACAAGGTATCAGAATATCCTAAGGCGATACATTAATATATATAATTGCATATCTCCCTGTTCCTTTAGAAATAAACATTTAAACATGTCATTACAAATTTTCAAATACACATATTTTATAAAGATTCACTAGTCAACAGTAGTATTAATAACTACCTATTCATTTATATTTCATCTACATAATATAGACAATCTCTTCACGTCAAACATAACTCTATTTTTGCAAAATTTAAAATAATTGGTCTTTTTGTGCAAAATATAATCTTATGACTCAAATTTTACATTTAAAAGAAATGATCACAACTCGAAATTTCAAATCATGAATTAAAAATTAAAATTTTATTCACATTTTATAAACAAACATGAATTTCAAATAAAAAACTTCAAATTTAAGTCCAAAATTCTGTTCACACTTATGGAGGAAGTGAGTATTTTTAGTTTGGGAAAAGACATATGCATGCGTTCAACTTGTGAAATAGTAAAATATGAGACGACAATTTTTTTATAGTACTAAAATAGAACAACAGCACCAAACAAATTAAAGCACAAAGACAAAAATGCAACTTTTTTGGGGACCATTTCAACATGCACTTTTGCATGTTAGTTGCACACTAGCTAACTAGCTAGCCATATTATTAAAAAAATAATGTAGAGACATTGAATCACTTTATCCACAGCCATTCGCCGAGACAGACTGTTCAGATGGTAAACAATTTTCATTTTCATTATATTCGAGTCACCAAGAGAGTAAATAGGAATGACAAATGGTGTGAGGTGGGACTGTTGAGGTCATCTGCGATGCATGTAAAGAATTGTATTATTAGACCTTACTTTCAAGGTAGTGGTAGATATAGACTAGACATAGTAGGTTCGATAAAACTTCATCGCTTATCAAATTTAACTCAAATTATACATGTGAGAAAAATTAATACAAATATAACTCTAAATTTTGAAATCAACATTGTCTCAATGTCCATCAACCTGTACCCAGTGGCGTAGGCACATGTATGCCAGGGTGTCCAATTGGACACCCTTCGTCGGAAAAAAATACCGCATATACAAGTAAAATTATATACAAAGTGATTAAATAACTTATTTTAGACACCCTTGACATAATAGGTTGTTATAGCCTAGTGATTTAAGATGTCTTGAATGTATGTTTCGACATCTGTAATGAGTCAGTGCTCACGTGTTCAAATCTCACATGAAACAATATTTTCCCCTTTTTAAAAAGAACTTTTGTTATTTAATTTTTGGACCCTCTTCTTGAAATTCCTGGCTTCGTCCCACTCTATCGAGAAAGTAAAAGTTATAATATAGTACTAGAATATATTTAAAAAATTGATAATAAAAGAAATAGATAGCTCTAACTAGGTTAATTTCAAAAACCTTCTAATTAGGTCAAAACCTGCATGTTACACATGTACAAGGTGACGATCTGTATTCCATGTATTGGATCCAGTTAGCTATTTAGAGTTTGTTTGAAATGACTTGTTTTAAGTGATCTTAAGTTAAATTAATTTTAAAGCATTTTTGGAATGTTTGAGTATTTAAAAAGTGCTTATAAGCACTTAACTTTAAGCTAAAATGACAAAAAATAAGTCAAAAATCATTTTATAAGTCAAAAGCTAAAAACCAATCCAAATAAAATTTTATTATGGTTGATGCTGGTAACAGCTAAGCCAAACAGAGAGTCACATTAAGTAAATAAAAATATTATTTTTTAATAATTTAAATGAAATGATTGCATACTTTTCAATTAGATTTTGGGTTCAAATCTCTCAGCCATCCTAATAGCAAAAAAATGGTTCACACATATTTGCGAATGAAAAAGAATCAATTAATTAAAAGTATGCTCTGTAACAACTTACATTTTTTAAAGTAAGATGATCACACATTTCAATTTGTTATCAAATCGAGCAAAGTCGCATTGTAATTAAGTAAATAAAAGTGTATTAATTTTTAATAAATCAAATTTTCAAATGAAATGATCGCTTACTTTTCAATATGTTATCAAAATACATAAGAGATTTTGGGTTCAAATTTCTCTGTCACCCTAATAGCAAAAAATTGGTTCATACATGTTTGTCAATAAAAAAGAATCAATTAATTAAAAGTATGCTCTCGCTAAAAACTTACATTTTTTAATAAGATAATCACACATTTCAACTTGTTATCAAATCTAGCAAGTAAGAGATCCAGTTCAAATTTCACCACCACGGCACTACCCAAAAGGCAAAAATATATTTGACATTTTTTACCATGAAAAAGTATCAAGTCCACATATGCAAGAGTGTGTGCTAAGACATAAAATAAATATATAATTAGTTAAATAATTAAAAGTGTGATTTTTCAATAGCTTAAATTTTTAGACGAAATGATTATGTATACAATTCAATATGTTATCAGAACAGGAAAAGTGATATACTAAGTTCAAAATCTCTCCACCAACCAAAGAGCAAAAAAATATTAAATCCACATATTTGGCTAATGAAAAAGAATCAAATCCAGATATGAAAGGGGAGAAATAACATAATTAAGTATGTTGCTCTAATAATTTAAGTTTCAGATGAGATGATCACACACTTTAACATCACGGACTTCAAAAATCGATGGATTCTTGACAACAATGTCATACATCTGGTGTGATTTGAAGTTTGTAAAGCTCTTTGGAAGTGAAATGAGATGTGCAGAATCATCTGATTTATGGAACTGCAGAAGATCCGACTTCATCGGGTTGTTGAATCGGGTCCACCCGAGTTCAATGAGTCTCTTCTCTAGTTCTTCATAGGAACTTATCATCTCATTCTCTGGTAGGTACACCAACACCCGAGGGCGTGCTCCAGGTGCAGTGACTGTACCTGTGCCTGCAAAGACGAATACAGAATTTAGAGTCGTGTACAAAATGTCATAAAGGAAAAACATATAAATGTAACCTATGACATGACCAAAGAATTTAGCATTTTGCCTTGAATTAATGCTTATGTTGTCAAATCCTTGTTGAAACCAACAAATTGTGTTCTAATATCAAATATGTCACGATCCAAAATTACAGATTGCAATTATGGGTGCAAGCTAGGTTACGATATTCAAACCTCCTTAGTAAGAAATTTCACTATATACGTGAGATTACAACTATTTTCTGATATATATAATAAGTGTTGAATCATATTGGTTTTTTCTATATTTACTTTCTTCTTTTTTTAATTTTGAATTTTCTTAGTGAAAAATTTAACTCTGTCACTGCAATCAGTACGTGACGGTCTAATCTCCCTGAGAGAACCCTCAACCCCTAGCAAATATATTAAAACGTAAAACACACATAATATATCGCGCAGTCTCCATATCCTCAAAAGAGAGTGTGTAGTATTAATTACTGATTCTAACAAGTTAAACTTATATCGAGTTATATACCTGGATATGTTGGTTGTTTTAGCTCGAAGGACTCACGAGTAGGATTTTTGATCAAATGGGCAACACCTTTCTTGTCAAATATCCATACGCCAGACATTATAATAATTGGTTTAATTTCCAACTCCAACAATATATGGAGATGGAGAAAGAAAAATAATAATACTTCATACCTTAGAGAAATGATGAAATGATTTCTCATGGAGCAGTAGATATATTCCACTGTGTATGTAGGTTTGGTAGTACATCATGTGATCACTGATCTTTTGAAAGACTGGACTACTATTAACCTTTTTGGGGATACTAGTTCATTTACTTTCTACGTTTTCCAATTTTTATATTCTGGGTCGTTTGATACGATGGATAAGAGATACTTTTTGTATCTTAATTTATGTGATATATTTCGTCTTCTGAAAGTCAAACAGTTTAAGTTTGATCGAAAATTTGCTCATGAAATCTTCAAATTTTATAAAATGAAATTTATATATTTGTATTGATAATTCAAAATATTTGAAAGATATATGAATTTTTTATGGTCAAAGATAGACTTGTTTATATCTCGATATTCGGAATGTGTCACATAAATTGGGATAGAGAGAGTAATAATTTTGGGACAAAATGTAAGATTATTTTATCTTCTATTTGGTTAGGGATATTAATTTAGTGATCTTGTGATTATTTATCTTCTCTAGGTATGGAGTCGTTGTAGACACATAATTTTTTACCGAACTTAAGTTTAACATCATTTTTAGAGCTTAAATATTTTATAAATCTAAATTAAATATTTTGACTTTTATCTTATTTTATTAAGTTTATTTTAAAAGATTTGAAAACAACAAAAATTCGAAATGTGTCACATAAATTGGAATAAAGCGAGTAATAATTTTGGGATAAAATGTAAGATGATTTTATCTTGTATTTGGTTAGGGATATTAATTTAGTGATCTTGAGATTATTTATCCTCTCTAGAGATGGAGTCATCTTTGTTAAAGAGCATTTTACCCTCCGATATGAAACTTTCCGTGAGAATCAAAATTTAATTGGGTTTCAATGTTGATATCGGACACTGGATGAAAAACAAAAACAAAAGAGAGTATTTATCCACCATTTATACTACAATGATAAGATAATTTATTTCAAATATATGGTTGGGTGGAACCCATCGACAATTCTTTAAAAGTGACATCAACTTTCACTTTTAAACATTTCAAGTAGACCTTGTATATTTTATACACCTTAATCAGGTTCGATAATGTCACTTTTAAACATTGTGTGTGTTGGACTCATTCTCAGCCTGACGAGCATTTTTTATATATATAATTTTCTTTTCCTTCTTCCTCTTCACTCTTTTATTTCTATCGCCTACTCAACCTTTTATCATTAAATCTCGATGGAAAGCCTTAGAAAATATGAGAACAGAATAAAAAAATAATTCATCACATTAATTTTGGAAAATTTTATAATAAGACAATGAATGAAGGAACAAAACTCGAAAAATAAAATAACTATTAGGGTATATTAATAAAATCGATCATTTTTTTCCTGCATATTCAATTGTTGATTTCTTTGTCAATGTCTTGCACACTAGAAATAGATCATTTAATTTATTTATTTTTGTTGAAAAAATAATATTTTTTCTACAATTTATTTTTAAATTATTGTTTCACACCAAATGTCACATGTCTTCTTTTAATTAGTCATCTTATCGTGTTATTTGTGAATGTATTACACACTTTGTAATTTTAGTTGATAGTAAAAAAAAAATGTTAATTTCATAAAACACAACTTAATTATAATTTTATAGCCCAATTCAAACTAATTCAGCAAATACCCATTGACCCAAAATAAATTACAGTTCATATCCCTTTTTATATATGCCAAATTAGCCCCCTTTAAATTTACATCCAATTTTGCCCACCCTTTTAAAATTTAGGTCCAATTTGCCTCGGCCCAAAACTTTTATTCTATTATTAATTATTTTTGTTCTTTTTTCTCATTTATTGTTTTTATCTTATCATTAATTACCTTTGTTCTTTCTCATTAATTATTTTTATTTTCTTTTTTATTCTTTTCGCATTTCTTTTTTCATATTATCATTTATTAGAGATACCGTTTGGTAATATTTTTATTATTTATTTCTTCTTCTTTTTTGGTTAGTTTATCTTTTTTTTTCTTTCTTTCTATATTTTTACCTTTTTAAGAAAATAAAGAAATTACTTTTATTTTTTGTTATTTATTATTTTTATTTTCTCTTTTATTTTTTTTCTCATTTATTATTTTTATTCTTTTTTTCATATTATCTTTTAATAGAGATATCATTTGGTAATAATTTTTATTATTTCTTTCTTTACCATTATCATTATATCCTTTATTAGAGATACTATTTGGTAATATTTTTGTTATTTATTTCTTTGTTCTTTTTTTCTATTTTCTTTTCCTTTATTAGAGATATCATTTGATAATATATACTTTTACAATATCATTTACCGATGAGTATAGGATGTGACTTGTGAGCAAGAAACCTTATATATATATATATATATATACACTTATAATATCATTGACTAATGAGTAATTTTCAGAACAAGAAACCTGCGTATTCAATATTTGGCCATCATCGCAATTTCACAAACATAGTATAAATTGTACTATGTAGAAATATTTTAATTGTTGGACCTGCATCGTTTTTGCCGTTTTGGTCAAGCATAAATTCAATTGTCCCTTATAAACTTCTAGCTTTAAAAATGCCTTTTTTGGCTTCGGACTATCCGATCTTTGTATGTGCCACTCTTTTTTCTGTCCGAAAGAATTGCTTTGTGAATTTTGCATTTTTGCTTGATTTGATCAAGTATCAACTATGGACGTGGGATGCTCATTTCTCTTAATGCTGCATTCTTTGTTTTTTCATACCTTGCAAGCTGATATTGCTAATATTGTCAATACTAGTTATTTGCAACCTTTTCCCTTTGACACCTGGATCCGGACTGAACCACTATCCTTCGCGATCGCAACCCCACCTACGTGATTGTGATGCCCAACAAAAGTTCTTTCTTCACAATCGCGAAGAAGGAAATGACATAGACCAGATATCAGCTGAAACCAACGTAACAGACATGAAAAGGCTTTCAAAAAACATGAATGGACCCTAGGGTTTGATGAGGAACCCTCGAAGACAAACCAAACATTCTACTAGATTGAAAACAACGTTTTAAATCTGTCAAAATTAATCATTAAAATATCGATTTGATCAAGGTCATCTTGATCAAATATTGACGGAGGTTAGCTTCCAACTTCTAAATTTTCAAACTTCCAACCAAAGACCCAAAACTCATTGGAATACCTTGGGATCCAAACCAAAGGTCTAACCAACCCAAAAAATACCTCATGGACCTGATAAAACTGTTGGAATTCCATTCCGAGCTCATTTTTCGCAAATGTTGAATGTGGCCAACCATTTTCACTTTCCAACCTTTCAAAATGATTCCGTCAAAACACCTCATGAATCATATCACACACACCCGCAGACCATAAGCATTCCACAAAAGCTATAGAAAGGGGTAAATTAATTGTGAGGGTTTACAACTCTACTTAACTTATATCCACTCTCTATTGTATACTTTCCATTTGATTTGATCCATCCATTCAACACATATTCTATTGCCAAATTTGTCTCTGAAATGACTAAAATTTCCTTTAGTCAACTTTCTGTATGAAGCAGTCGACTCAGCTGCAAGTTAGTATCACAATATAAAATAAAAGTACATGCAGAAAGTAAATCAACACGAGATTTTTTATATTGGATTGAAACACTGGTGTCATGCCTGCGTCCAGTCCCCTTGGGTTTCAAGGATTTTCTCTAGAGCTTGAAGTGGACTTCGGTTGTACAAAGTTTTGGGATCTGATCCTATCTAATATGCAAATCGGATTTTCTTTCTCGACACTACCTCTACATGTAAACCTACATTCAAAATCTTTCTTTCTCTTTTCTTTTCAATTGTTCACTCAAGTGAGTACAAAGTTTTATGAAAGATAAAAGAAGATTACAATATAAGCTCAACTGAAGTTGCACACATCTATCATTTGAGGAAGGTCTTGATTTTATATGCAGTGAAGTGTGACCGTTGTAGCTCTAACAGGAAAAACCCAAGGGAGTTTCCTTTAATCAAGGACTTGTAATGTTTCCTTGATTGAGTGTCTTTTCTCCTTGATTGAGTAATACTAAGTTTGCCTTGAATCAGAGTTTGTTTATTCGAAATCTTGAATTGTTGCATGCTTTACTGCTATTGATTCTTTGAAATCTTTGAATTGCTGATTATGATCTTCTTGCTATCTTGAGAGGTGGTTTCTGCTCTTTTCCTTTCTGGATTTATTAGAGTTAATTTAATTATGGATTGGATTGATTTTGGTGAATCAACCTTCTCCTTGATTAACTGCATCCATAACTTCTCCTTGATTAACTGCATCTACTCTTTCAGTTTGATTGATTCGGGTGAAACAATCTTGTCCCTGATTTTGTTCCTTGATGTCTTGCTACACATATTGGTTTTGTCATTATCCAAAATAACATAAGTTAACAATCTCCCCTTTTTTTTTATAGTGACAACTATAACTATATGATGTAATTAAACTTCCCTATTTTGTCATTGTGTTGCTCCCTCTTTCTATATGTTCCCCCTCATTGTGTGCTCCAAGTAGTTATCTGAATTAATTATCCCCCTTTGACATAATAATAAAAAAAACAAAATAACATGTTAGAAGACTAGAACACTAGCAGCAAAAATAGATATACAAATAAGCAGAGAGTATTAAGGGAAAGAGACCCCAATATTACAATCCAAAACAAAGGGGGACATAGTCCCATAAAACCAAGTCTAGACAAAAGAAATAGGAAACACCAGCTTAACGATCACCAAGAAAGTACTTGAGAGTGTTGAGCACATTCCTGCAGAAAGAGTTGTAAGAGCGCTCAACATTCTTAGAGAAGTTGGAATAAGAAGTATGCACAGAGGCAGCTAGCTCGGTATGGGCAGAGTCGGCGATCGACTTGATGGAGTTGACTTCCTGCCTTCTTAAGACCTTCTACCTCTAGACGAAGTTTTCCAATATCAGTGCC